ATTTGAGAYCATGATAAATAAAGGCTTAAAATTAAGAAAAAAACCCAACCACAATTGTAATTTTTTTTTTTTTGTTCCAGGAAGATGATTATACAAACATTAGATTTAAGACAGACACAAGTTAAAATTTTATTGGAAAAAAAAAAAAAAAGCCAAACCAGCTTCTCCAAGAACCACAGGCTAAGTTGAGAACTAAGCTCTACCTTCAGCACCTAAACACAAACACACTAAGCTCTACCTTACAGCACCAAGTTTGCCCTGTGAGGCCACTATTAWATCCTCCTGATCCTGAGCAGCTTCACACCACCCACAGGCCCAGGAGTCCTATTTAAGCCAAACTCAGGGCCCTCACTCCTGGTCTGACTAKTCTAGAAGAGTATTGTGCTTCAGCTTAGTATAAATTGTAACTGCTTATGGATCTTGAATTTATGCTATTGCTCTGGACTAGGTAAATTACTTCTGTATTTTGCTTAACTTTTATCACCAGCCTATATTATTATAATTTTGGCTTCAGGTCTGCCWTGTTCTCTTGAACTTGCCTACTGATGTGCATTTTTGAGTATTCTACGGATACCATCTCTARAAGTGCCAAAGTTATCTTCTACATCTTCTTCTGAAGGATGGAATGGGAACTGCTGAGTATTTCTACAAGCTTGGAAATCCAGATTTTTGGATAAGAGCTGGAAGTATCCCATTTTTCGCCCTTAAAAATGAATCTATTTCTAAAACTGTATCATCTATGATGAAATCTTCTCTGGAAAAGCCCTATTAYCCCACTAAAGCAGAGGGGCTGGATGGACAGCTGGGAATGAGRAGTGTATTGGACAGGAGGAGATGAAAGAAACATGATTTGTATGGTCTGACAAAACAAACATTAGGGAAGATACGACTGCTGTCTATAAATACATCRGGAGAGTAAACACTGAGGCAAGGATAAAGACCCTACTTAAACTGCATGAAAATGCTGGCACAAGAATAAATAAATAAATAGAAATAGACTTTGGGGGAAAAAAAAAAAACAACTTGTCTCCAGTGATGTTTTTAGTTTCTTGTTCAAAGCTGCAAGAATAAAAGTCTCASTTTCTCCTCAGGGAAAGCCTGCTTGGGTTATACACTGAGGTGTCTGTGATAGAGAGGACTTGGTAGCTTGGAAACTCTCTGCCAGCTCCTGCATCCATAAGAAGGCCAGACTTCTAATTTCTAACTTTTTTAGAAGGAGGAAGGTTAACCATCTGATAGAGAAGTATTTTTTTCCTTATACATACTGGAAAAGGATACAGAGTTTTCCCAACTAGCAGACTTACTTTTAGCTCTTCTACAAAAAGCCAAGMTAAACAGAGTATAGAGTTAGTACATGCACTAAATTAAATCTTAAAATATGATTTTTTAAAGAAAATATGGCTGCTGTCTAAACATCTACCATAAATTATCCCTGAATGTGTTTTTATGTTGCCTCTTTTATTCATCAACCAAAAGTATGCAGAAGCAGGCAGATCTCTGAAGATCCCTTCTTTCTCAACAGAGATGGGGGAAAGCTTACTCTGTCATGTCATCACTAYATTTTGAAAAAGGCTATCAAAGGCTGTATCAAATACTTTCCCAGTGCTGGAGACAAGACCATGACAAAAATTAGAAATCTTGCATAATGCACTATATGAATAATTATAATAGAGAATATTCAACCTATTTAACTTTCTAGTRAACTCAGAATTATCCCAAAGCATGGGGAGTTTCCTGAATCATTCTGCCCTGCTTAATGGAAAGGAAACCCGAACAGCCTCTGTAATTATTTTGTAGCTGATGCACAAATGCTTTTCTACTAATGGCAGCCATTCTATGCAACCTGAGCTGGGCTGTGGAGACACCTGAACTCCAGTGGAAATCAGCCAGTGGTGCTGGGTGATGGCAGTTCAGTGCTGTCASGATCATGGTAGCTGAGATGCTTCCCAGAGAAGAAATGTGTGCACTAAATAGTAATCCCAGCTAAAGGAGGAGCTGACCTGGATTTGAAGATGAATTACATCTTCCCAGTGCAGATTTCTGGGAAATGCTCTAAGAATGAACAAGTCTGGCAATGCAGAGAAGAACTGGGTTGCACTGGAGTTCCTTGCACTTGTCTAAACTGGGCTGAGTGAAACCACAACACGCTGCCTGCGGAAAGGCTGGGGCTCTGCAGGAGCAGCCAAGCACAAGAAGGAAAAATCGCTTTCTCACCCTGCAGAATCTTCCAAAGAGACAGTTTGCAGCAAAAGTTGTGAAATGCTGAACTCCCAGATGACTTCTGTCTTCTTAAACCATGAGATCTCAAAGCATCATCAGGAGCAGCAGCTGCCTTTATAAATATTGTTCTGATGGAGTTGGGGAGATATTGGTGTGTGAGTGGCAAAGTATTGTCCCTGCAGGCAATTTGGCTTCAGGACTCACTTTTCCYATCCCTACACCCCAGCAGGGCTTTGCTAAATAGATTTTCAGTGAACTGAAAAGCTGCCTTTTCCTAAAACTAGCTGTATCTTTTACCAACTGCCCAATGAAGATTAGGGGGCTGARGGAGTTGAGGCAGGTTGTTTTCTGGCTTATGTCTGTGCCTGTGTAATGGTTTGACACTGGCCAAATACCAGGTACCCATGACAACAACAGGCAGAGGAGAGAAAAAATTAAACAAAGAGTTAATGAATTAAGGACCAGGAGAAAACATTCCAAGAGCAAATCAGGCTCAACTTAGTGGTACAAAGTAAATTTATCACTAAAAAAGTCAGAGGAGGACAATAAAAAATAAAAATAAGCTTTTAAGACACTCTTCTTCCCACCAGCAGTGCAGGGAACAGAGCATGGGGTTTTTGCTTAATTTATCRCTGAGATCTTCTTCCACTGCTCAGAGAGAGGAGTCCTTCCCCTGCTGTGTCGTGGGGTCCCTGCTACGGGAAACAATTCTCCATGAACTTTTCCAGCATGGGTCCAGTCTCACGTGCAGCAGTTCTCCTGAAACTGCTACAACTTGAGTTCCGTCCATGGGCTGACAGTCCTCTGAAAACTGCTGCAGCATGCATCACTCGTGCACAGAGTGCAGTCCTCCAAGAGCAGACTGCTCTAGCCTGGCAGCAGGACCCTCTCTCTGCAGCAGCTTTCCTGCTGGATCACTGCAGCCATCCACTCACTCTGATGTGG